AAACGCACATAATAAACAGCCCCCGATGGAATTGGGAGGTTTTTGAAGGAGCCAAGTGTTACCGTAAAAGTAAAATTAAATACTTTTTCTCACTCGATGATGGGCCGATGAGCTTTCCATCAGTTCATCAGTGGAATACTAATTACTACAAATCCAAAGCTCGTTGGATTGTTTGTTTAGTGAACCAAAAACCAACCACACGATTTTTTGTATCTTTCCTTCTCAACATAATAAAAAGCCCTTTAGCACAGGATAAGATAGAGAACTGGAACTGGATCAGACGCTACTTTTTCTCCTTCGCCTCCATCTCGACTTGAAAGCGCAGTCAAAGCGTATCATGTAACAGAACACATGTGCTCATCGTGTAGTTTGGTGTAATGCATCTGACATGTGATCCTGATCCATTGCCTTCTTCATCTGACCTGACCGCAAGGGCGATAGGAAAAAAGTGGAGGCACAGCATGGGGTCTAATGATGTAATGAAAACGAAATGAAAATAAAATTAGAGGATGTGCTCCCAATTTCTGATAATTTTCGATACCTTAAATCAACAAGAGGTTTCAAAAGAAATTGGGCACTAGTTTACTTTGATGGGGGATTATGTATGTACATATAAAAATGTAGGTAGGGCCACAAGAAGAAGAAGGATCAATAGCTGGAGGGCTGCTATCAACAAACTGGTGCATGCATAAATACAAGCGCTTGTATGTTTGATTATTATTCAAGTTTGTGGATAATTGTGTGGTTTTGGTGTATGTCCAAGTACGCAAAAGCTATAGTGGTATTGACGGCAAGAAAATTATGTTTGATGAACATGCTGGAATTCCTTGGGTAAAATGAATTAGAATGAATGAAGATCCGATATTTCTTGATTTACAGCTTTTTTAATGAGTAAAGCGATATCGGAGGGATAAAGAGATTATGTATTTGGCGTATCATTCAATATTTAGTTTGAAAAATTGTTTCAATTTCATAAATTCTTTACCACCTGCAACTTGGCGAAATGTCAAAATCGAAAACTTGGTCCGTGCATTTACAATGTGTAGACAGACAAACTTGTCTTTAGTAAACTTTTTTTTGTGCAACAGAGCAACTTAAAAAGTGAACTTGATTTGCGGATTTTTCAATCGCACTGCTGCACCTATTGCCAATTTTCTCTAATTGTCTCAATTAAGTGTTTGAATGCAGTGCAATTTTAAAAATGTGAATTGCTGCCGGATTGTGTGTGGCCCTCATTTTTGCATTTTCTCACTTATTTTGTCAAATTACTTGAACCGTTTATCCCCCGTTCAACTCCACTCCCATGAACGAGAGACAATGCACCGAAGGAGATAATAGAAAAAAAACTTAGCAAAGTGATATCCCCGCCTGTTAAAAAATAACTAGATATTCATTATATCATTATTCCATAAAGAATACCCTAAATAATTGGACTTTAGTGCAAAACTGCAGACCGTCATCTGGAACTACCCCAATAACAGCAATTTTGTGAATTTTTGGATTCTGCAAATCATCTCAACAGTCATTTTCATGGCATTGCGTGATTTCAAACATAACTAGAAACCACCCCAACCTCCCTTAACCAAGCTCGCTTTCTTTCATGATTAAGCCAAGATTTATGGGGCCAACTAGCAGTCAGAGTCTCACTCACAAGTAGATATTTACAGCAGCAGCAGTACACACATGAGACGACCAGGACCAGACCTAACCACGAAGAACAAGTGAAATATTATTCACAACGCCATAATTTTACTTTACTTTTTTAGTCGGCTCCTACTAAAACGACGACCATACGGCCAGTTGCTGTTTGTTATTTAAGTGTGTTGCGTGTGTCCCAGGTCCAGGTTCACTAATGTGATGATGTATCTGTAACGTGACAGCTACCGACGATATCAACTAAAAAATACGGAGGCAAGTATCCCTCCATTAATAAACACAGTAAAGTATCTGATACCTACTTATATGATGATAAACGGTAGTCAGATCCCGAATTTTGGGCGAGATCGCATGTGTACCAAACTATGTTTCTTAATTTTCTGATAGAGATAATAATGAACATTTGTTTGGTGCCACTTAATTAGACGTAACGCAGAAGAAGGTTCATATGCATGTGGCAAAGGTTAAGAAGGGACAAAGAAAAAAAAACATGTTTTTCTTAAACAAATACTGAATTGTGCGACAAAGGGAATTTTTCTTCAATTATTCCACCATTTTACCGGGAATATCATGGAATTATCACCACCATTTCTTCCATTTATATATGTATTTAGGACTTTTTTAATTCACTTTATTTTCCACGCGTTGCGTGCCACTGTGAGCAGGTGAGCTTCATGTGGGTCTTCTCACTCATCATCGCTTAATTAGAGACTCAGAGCCTCGAATTCCGTAGTTTATACACGATAAATATTTTTATACTCATTAGCACAGGATTTTAATACATTTCAGGTTATAATTGTTGCCACTGGTGAAAAGTTATGGGGGGTCTGTAGCAAATCTGAGATGGGATGGGACACAATTATCGTGTGACGACTGAAATGACATTTTTTAATCAATAACAGGTGTCCGCAGAATAAAGGAGGCGTCCCAATTTGGATTAGATTGACGATGTCTTCGCATCCTCATCATTTTGAGACATGCCACGATCTCATCTTTGGTGCACCAACCATATCAAATTTTGTAACAATGAATCTTCTCTTCCTGTACATTTTCAAACTCGAGATTGGAATTTTTCACGGGCGGAAATGGAAAGATGTAATAGAAACTTTAAATGACATTCGTGTCCAGAAAATGAAACCATCAGGAAAATAAAAATCAAACTAAAGTCAAAGGTTTTATGTTTATTGGGACAATTTCAATTTGAGTGATGATTTCACGACTGGGGAAGGCGCACAGGCCACCAGTCATTAGTTGAGGGCAACCTATAATAAAGGAGAGATTTTGACATTTATATTCTTTCCTGGAAATATACTCTCATTTAACCCAATTACACTCGAGTTTAACAAGATAACTTATTTAAAGTTGGGGTGGATGGGAGGAATAAGGCACCGTGTGCTCATTCAAGATTTTTTAGACTAATTTGGTGCAATTTAAAGGAATTGAGCTCTCTATGTACATAATTCCCTTATGCAACGACGTGAACTCATGACCCAGACCAAAGGCTGTAAATAAATACGTATGCACCAGCTCAGTAACTTGTGAGACTTGTATAAGATTTACAAGTTTACTAATAAAAACGACACGCTGTCACGACTTTGGCTTAATACTCGTCTTACAGAGAGGTGACCAGAGACCATCCGCCGTACAACATGGTGCTCATCGCCATCCTTGTGTAATACATATGTCCATCTATCCATATGCTGCTGTTAAACCATGAAATGTTTGATATTTTTCATCATGTTTATTGTTTATTGTTTAGCAGAGAAGATGGGATTGTTCTGTGTACATTTTAGACTTTATTTTACGACCGAAATGGCAATGAGGATAATAAAACGGAGAAATTTGAATTTAAAATGTGCATGATCCCATACAAATCACCGTTGTGGAACAACCTGCGTTGTGGAATGAATGAGTAATAATACAGAAACACATTTAACAGCCAATGGACACCTAGAGGAGGACCAGCAGAACGGACAAGGGCATGGGAAACAATGATGACTGAGGTAATTTTTATGACGCTGTTGATTTGTGTCACTTCTATAGCTGCATTTCCTCCTCTGCAGACTCAATTAACGCAAACCAAGCATGTATTACAAGCGTATAACACACAACTCATGGTATTACCACGGCCATGATTTAAAATTTTGTGAAATTTTAGGTATCATTTTGGAATCAGAGAAGCAATATCGAATTACACATTTTTCTGTCGGAAACTTTAAATCTTTTGGAAAAGGGCACCTGAACTTGTGTGGGGCTTGTCAACCAGCAGTTCTTTCATGTCTAAACGAAAGGATAAAGAGACAGTTTCTCCAGCAATTGGTTTATCTAGTTCCCATATTCTTCTGGGACACGCCATTCATTCCACTGCTACGTATACATACATACGTATTGATTGTTTAGCTGTCCAATGTGAACCTTAGATTGAGATTGTTGATGCTGATTCCATTCGAGCAAGAGCAATGTTCGATCAAGATTAGTAACAATCGTTTCATTTGATAAAGGGCAAGATCAACAAGGAGATAGTTTATAGCTCCTTTTCTGAGGGTTGCACATCTGACTGGTGATTTAGAGGCCCAATTTTTGTGCACCGATAATATTGGTGTAGTTTTGAGTTTAATATTTTTTAGGCCAATATCCTCCCATCCGAAAAGCATGGATTATATAAGCAGATGAATTTATGTAAGATTTGAGTAATGCATGAACTTTGCAAATTCACCATAAAATTGATATTCCACTTTTAATAAAATTGCTGCAAACTTGCTTGGAGTTGAATGCCATCGATTGAAATTCTTTCCCCATCAGGACAAATTTCTTACCTGAAACGATGTCAATTTCAAAGGTGGTCTCGAACTTAAATGAAAAGTAAACTTTACATTCAATCTTGGAAATCAAACCTAAACACAGGTAAAAAACGATAGAGAGCTTCCATTATATGTACATACCTAGCGGTGATCCATTCAATCTCTGGACAAATCTTTGATCAGAATGTCAAATGTTATCCTGCGGTTGAATACCTACCTTGACTAACTGGATGAGCATTACACAGAAGACCTGAGGAGAAGGGTACCTCCAACACAATGCAAAACACAACCCGACCAAAGCTATCATATCAAACACTTGCAGCCATGCAGGGTGAAGTTGGATTGTCAATTATTGAATAAATGGATTTATTATTGATACTTTTCATTGTTGAGGTTTAGTTGAACGTTCCCTGCTCACTGAGCAGCGTTTTTTCTCAACTTAAGCCTTTTTCTTTCTTTAGAAATACATTTTACTACTTGGCCAACCTCAGATAAAGCTCTCAGCCTACTGCTCAATTGTTGTTGTTGTGTGGGGATCAGAAATCAAAAATAAATATCAATCCGTCTTGGTCTTCTCTGGCCCTTGGCAATGGATTGGTTTGATAGTGCTTGGTGGTATAACATAAGGATGTCGATGTCACTGTCAAATTGGGGTATTATTAATCTGCCATCAGTCAAAGACTCGAGCAGGAGATCTTTCCTATCGGCCACAAACAACCTTTGGTTTAGTTGTGTTTTTAAGTCTCCTCGTATTTTTATTTCATCCCATCCAGGATAATTGACGAGATGAATGACAAAGGCGATACAAGCGTTGCTTTGCTACCATTACATATGTATGTACAAAGTTGCTTTCTTCTTGTCAGGACGGAATAACTTATCCGTGTTTTCCCAAATGGTTTCAGATTCTAGATCAGAATCAGTTAATTTAAAATTCTGGATGATGATGGTCCTTCCGATATCTGGCTGATAAGCGAGTGTTGTGTTTGCGTTACATTTCTATTTGATTCTACAGGGAATGGTGTCGTGTTGGGGAAAATAAGGCAGTGGGGCATCCCATAATAATATCCGTCCTGAATATTACGTCGACCAGGTTTCACCTGGCCAGGATTTTCCAGGTACGAACAACAATGTGTCTACAAGAGATCACACCAGATGACTTTATCAAGCCTTTCCTTCCCAGGGCATAAGACAAGACAGATACGACAAGCACATCACCACCAATGGCACTATTTTAGATGGACATACAGAACTTGTTGAACTTTTACGTAAAACTCGCTTTCTTTCATCTGAAACAAATTGCTGACCAGGGAGTTCCAAAAAACTAACAACTTTATTACGAGTCTTGTTCTAGAGAAACTTGAATTTTGAAAATGTGTTTAAAAATTCAATTACTGTGACTGAGTTTTATACTACATGACTCGTTGTGTATATAACCACACAATATTCCAGTGTGTATGTAACAATGGTGGTGTATAGCAAAAAAAGAACTCTGAAAGTTTCCGCCTTGGCTGCAGCCCTAATAAAAAAGTCAGTTTAGTTTGAACATTAAATGAACAGGAAAAAGATTGATGAGCTATAACTTTTATACATTTATAACCTCAAAAATAAAGAACAAGAACCGAATTCGAAGAACCTCTGAATAATATGTTTTTCTCTTTCTGTTTATTTAGGCCTCTCTTTTCTCCTAACCTACATACACACAATAATAATAACACATGCACACCCAAGAACGCCAGGAATTTAATAGCCTTGCTGGACAAATAAGGTAAAAATGGAAATAAAACAAGGAATGATGAAAAGTAAATAAATTACAGGAAATTTTTCTCTCATTCCAAACAAGCAAGCGTAACAACAATGTTGTTGGGCATGTTCGAATCATGTCCAAACTTGCATTTGCATAACATAAATACCAGCACCTAAAATTGCGTTGGGTTACAGATGTGCATATGCAAAACTGGATTTGCAAATAATTAAAAAAACTTTTCAACTTTATTTGCAACAGTAAATCAGTTGTGAGTCATTACGTGGAGGACATGACATCGACGACTTGTTTCTTCGCACTGTCTGCACTTGAGAAATATTCACTTATGTAGACAGGCAGTTGGGTACAATTCGTCAAAAAAAACTCTTCGTCATTAATTTCTGTTTTCAGTCAGTCATCGGGAGTATAATGTTGTATCGACATTTATTATTTTACAACAATCAACCATTACCCAAAACTAATGGTGAACTGAACCACAAAAAGAAAGACCAATTTCATTTATTTGATGTTTGTCTGCGTACAAAACCATCTCAATTTTACGACCGACCAAGACCAACCAACCTGATTATTGATGTCTGTCTTCTTGTCGGTCACTCGTGAATATTGATGGCGAAGATTTGAAGATAATCCTGGCATTAGTTCGTAATATAATAACGAATAGCAAATAACGTGACCAAGAAAGAAAAAAAGGGATGAACGATATTTGCAAATTGTTATTACACCATTGCATTGTACTCTCAAGTGTATTATTAATACTACAATTCCTCATGTTCTTAATATGCCAAAACAAAACCTTAAGCCGGAAAACATGAGATAATTGGGACTAGTTTGGTTTAAGTTCTCTATCTCTGTTTCTTTCAAGTAAATTATTATACATTGTAAAAATCTACCGTAAACCAATTTCACCGATATTACAGATATCTATGTACCTACATTCCTATTCCTCTTGTTAACTAGTTGTGATACTTGTTGCGGTTAAATAACTAATAGTTTTGGTAAAATTTGTGCACCCTTTTGTGAGATCTACATACGTACACATGTGCGTATATAAGATGGCTTTAAAATTACCCGTAAATATAACGATTCCACAAAATATATTGGCGTTTAAGTCATACAATTTGCAGTTCACAACCAATTATTTTAGGCTAAACCTACTTCATGACCATCTGCTTGCGTTATCTTTTTGAAATCAGAGCTGGGGTATTTCATCCTTATAATTAGTCCTCCGTGTGTTTATGTTATGCAGCTCGAACCAAAGGAACTTTGTCGTAGAGAAGAATATGTATATTACACGGGGACCATTAGACGGTAGAAGCAGGATGGATTATCTGCACGCAAAAATCACTTATGTATTGTGTCTTTCTTGAGGTAGAGAGGATGAAGGTGTTCGGCAAATTATGGGTTGAGGCTTCCTAATTAACGGGCAAGTTCTCAAGTTTTTATTTCCATTTACCTGTGAAAAATGGTGCAAATACGAGTCATTGTATTTATCCACGGTTTGCAAATTTTCATGTATTCACAAAAACGCTGAGAAAATTTACTACTCGATTTTTAAAAAAATATAGTTTTTGAACTATAGTTCCGATCAGAATTCGTTTTACGCATTCAAATTCCAGTGCCTATCCAACCCTTCGAAATCAATTTCTATCCAACACCTGGTCTTGTCACTGGAGGAGAGAAGAGATGGAATTGGTCTTCTGTCTGTATGCTAATGGTTACTCGGAATTGGTTTGTTTTGTTGTCGGAGAACAAAACAATGTAACAAAGGCAAATGGGTTGCATGAATTCTCAACAATACAATAACATTATCCGTGCCCATAAGAATTTACCAGCTTGTGTGTGTGGCACTAGCCGTCAGATGAATTTGCCTACAATTTTTACACTCAATGCACTATCAATCTGCCTTCCGATTGATAGTGATTGACACCCTGTTCACTCCAAGTATTAAGTACTCTGATCAAATCTCAATCTTTAATGCTACCAAACTAGCAAGAAGAAACTACAAATCTGTTGATGTTAAGGAAGGAAATCGATTTTTTGTGTGTGATTAAAGAGAAAGGAATAATCACAAATGGATTTTTCTAGTCAGAATCTTCTACCGACAAACAAAAGACAGCTTCTTCGCTTCATAAAAGTAAAAGTTTTTAAATTAATGGAAAATTTACATGTGACTTTAACTTCTGGGTTCGTTTTGCAGGTTCAATTAAAAAATGTCATTTGAATTACGATGTCCACGATTTCCTGTGTTTTTTAGTATAAAATAAAAATAGGGATTGTGTGAGGGAGCTACCACAAGCAAATACTTAAATGAAACACATTTAAGTACTTCGGATTAAAAGCGGCAAGATTGAGCCCTCGGAAGGAATGAAATAAATTCAGAGCCAGAAAGAAGTGAATTGACTTTGACAACTTGGAAGTGGAAGCTAAAACGAAATAAAATGGGGGAGGAGACTAGTTATAATAGGAAGAAGACGAAGGGAGATAATGGTGAAAGGGTTGAAACACTGAAACTAACTTTTTGAGCTGAATCCCTTCCGAGAGTGGGAACAATGGGGATGAGCCGACACATGAGGAAGAACACAAAAGACTCCTCTAATGCGATTCTGACAGCCTTAACGATTAGAATCAGATTTTTAAAGCCTTGCCGACATTGACGTTCACTGTGTGCTGCTCGTTGACTTCACAGTGACCACCCAATTGTCGTCTTGCATTTCAATTAGCTTTCCACCATAAGAATAACTGCATCACCGACGACTTCCATTAAAATTAAGAGTTGGTTATTATGGTAAAAACCTCACTTGTGGTGAACCGGTAATCCATTTACTTTCATCTGTTGAAACAAAAAATCAGAATTTGATGTAAAGTGAGTGAGGCATTCGTCAAAGAAATGATACATTTTTATTACGCATATGAATTTATGTATAAGTACTTATCTGTAGATAAAATATGAGGCAGATGCATAATGAAATGACCAATGTGATTCTTATTTATTAGATTTATGTAACTGTTTACTATTTTTAAATAATGTGGGTTTTTGAGTGGCATTAAAGTATAATAAATATGAAACTACTTATTTTGAAATCTCATAACCACCACCAAAATCCCTCTGAAGTGAATAATGGCCAATTCCAACTTAAATTCCCATTTGTCCCCCACTTATTACACACATAAGTACCCCGTCCGCCTCCGTTTGTTTGCTCATTTGTCGGTCAAGAGCTTTCTTCTCTTACATATGCCAAGCCAAGAAGAAATAAGCTACCGAGTCAAGAAGTGGCTCGAAATGTCACTCGTCAAGTCGACGCTGACAATGTGAAAAGGTCTTGCAGTCAAAATCGTCGAGTTTGTTCTCTCCCCCGCCTTGCATAAGGTGTCCCAGTGGAATCTAACCTTTGATTAAAGGTAACGCTGTAGCGAACCGATGTGATTATGCCACCATAAAGTCAATCATTTCTTAACTCCTTGTAGAATTACGGTATATTCATTCATTTTGCTCTGGGGATTTTTGAGGTTGCCCACATAACTCGGGCAAATAATAAGGTATGCGCTGACTTAAATGTCACTCTTAAGTGCACCTCAAGTTAGTAGACTTTGACATTTTAGGTTCCTTTAATACTAATCAAAAGAAGTTTAGATCCGGCAGCTGAAACGACAATTTCACGCGCTCCGCCCTCCAAAGTCAAAGCAACAAGGTGATAATAATAATATCCATATTATAAGAATAAGATAGCAATGATTACGGCCTGACCACGACCATCGTCAACTTTCAAATTGAGTGACGGTTGACTGATGTGGAATTCTGTTACTGTGAAAAACCGGTATTATTGATCCCTTCAGAGTAAGTCACACCACTTTATGAAAGTGCTACTAGGTTAAATTTAGAACAGAAAGTGTGTACACAAATAAATACCGCAAAATGCTTTGCTGGTGGTTTTGTTAAACAGCTTATCACCCAAAAGTCAACAACAATGTCGCTAAACGAATCTCATCCCCACATGCAAAATGATTTAGGCAGCAAAAGCCGTGTGTATCCGGACGGAACAATAGTTGAGAACAATGCAAGGTCTTGCCGGACATGTCTGTCGATTCAGTGCACATTTACCAAAATTAATAAGCCAACCAACCCGCAGAGATCACATACATGACAAACGTTTCAGAGAAGAATCAAAAGTCAGACCGTGTCAAACTCGAACTTATTCCTCCAAAATAACAATAATAATATTCTCATTTGTACCATCTAGCCCACTAAATATAATGGAAATCTGTATGCCGATCTGATTTGTACAAGAGTGATGTGATGTGTGATGGAGGATGTTTTTCCTTCGTTAACCCTTCCCTCGTCCTTAATCCATCTGCATTTCTTTGTAATTTTCCTTTATTCATTGTATTCAGTGAATTCTGCATTCGTTACGATTACATACAATTATTCTATGACTTTTTGGTGTGTGCTGCTGTGCAGGCTTGGATTTGAATAATGAATATCATCCGGAAGTACATACACGGAGGCATCAAAGCATTTAGTACGACGCGTCATGCACAGACGTTCATCCATCTCTGAGGAATGAATGAATGAAAGTCAACCGGGTTATAATCAGTGCGAGATGACATGTGTGGTTGACATTGTCATTCAAAAAAGAGTGGCATGCAGGCGTTTGGTATATACGCTCAAATGTCAATTTGAAACTGCTAACTGCGTGGTTCAACCCTAATGTCTTAATCCAATAAGTCAGTTTTCAATTTGTAATTCAACTTGTGTGTCCTGTGCAGTTTGCAGTTTCTTTTCACAAAGGGAAAAAGAGAAAATAAGTTATTAGTGCTTATCCATATTTCTTATTTTGTCCTATTATCGCATACCGACTGTCATACCACACAGGGAGAAGTGCAGATCACAAACAATGGGACACGCCGTAATTTGTTGGATGCTTAAATTCAACTGGTTATGAAAAGAAACAAAAATTGTGCGATTCAATTAGCAGTAAATTAGGA